TAAAATTTATTCTGAGCATTTTGACTGAATCGTACATTAATTTATGTGTGTCCATTAGTTAAATTATACTATTGTATTTTCTAATTTTATTTTAGAGTAATGATTATTTTCGGTGCATGGATATATCATTCAATGGTGAGGTAATATTAAGGTATAGTTTAGTTGGTACAAGCAAATCAAATAAGACGAAAACACTACACCCCCTAATGAATAGACCGGAAAATTCAGAATCCGGTCCTGGGCAAGAAACTGATGAATTTTGGAGTCCCAGTAAGCCCACAATGTATCTTATGCACATCACTTTTTATATGCAATCACAATGCATGTAACTACTAGTATATTATGTCCCTGCGAACAAAAAAAAAAAAAAACGTTAGCAAGTGTTTATTTAACGCATACATTGATATTAATAATCTTATCCGTGTTTGACGTTAATAGACCATTTTCCGTTCACTGCGAGAATCACGCGTTATGCGTGAAATCGAACGTAAAAACAGGACAAACAAAGGTCATAGCGTCGTAGTCGCGTCAAACATCGCGTGGGATTCGACAAACGCGAAAGTATTTCGGGGACATTTCCATGCTTAATAATGTGCTGTCCACATTTGATGATAGGCAATTTCGATTAAGTAAGGGTATTCGGAAGCAATATTCCTCTGTCGAAGATCGGCCGGTCATTGTAAGCTGCGAAATAAAGAAATTCTAGTTCAAAATCAAATCGTTCGATTTTTGCGGCAGACGTTCGACGCGCGTCTTTCATGCATCTCACGAGATTTCGCAATTGTACGGAAAATCACCTATTTGTTAGCACGGTCGACAGTGTATCAAATATTCTTCCTAAAATCAAAAGGTATAATACTTTAAGGGGGGGCAAGGGTTATTTTCGTTCAACGTAATTGCAATATTTTTTTGTTCGTACAACGTAAATTGAAAAAATAAATTCCGTAATTCTGTAATCACAGGCTAGACGTACAACGTAATCGATCAAATATATTTTTCGTACACTGTAAAAATGTGTAATTTTTCTCGGTACGTACAAGAATTTTCAAGGTTTTCTTTCTTAATCTTCCGTAAAATGTAAAATAACCTTTATTTTCTCTGTAAACTGTAAACATTCAATTTTCACTGTAAACTGTAAAAACGTCTTTTTTTCTTGTAAATTGTAAATTTATTTCCCGTAAAACTGTACCAGCTACCCCCCTTGCCGCCCCTCCTTTAACTTTCGAATTGTATGTTACATATTCATTAGATGCAAATAGTGATGAAGCATTGCTTTTCTGAATGAGCATGGTCATTAATGTCATGCTCTACCTTTTTAGTAAAGATCAGACTGCCATATCAAGATAAAATAGCACAGTGAGTTGGAACTTTACAATCATCCACACGTAACAGTGAAAAAAAAACTATGGCACAAAATATTTGATGTTCCGATCATTATATGCTATTTATGAGCATTCGTATTATGAAATACTCAAACGAATATTCAATGGACTTCAGTTATACAATACACGAGTAACGTACAGATGTT